AATTTAGGAAGTTTTTAAAATGTGTTCGTAAGAATTTCCCGCCTTCCTGGGAAGAGTTGCCGATCAAAAATAGAAAAACTTCCTGGGGAAGAGCTCATCTAGCATATTCTATTTCAAATTAAAACAACCGGTACCGGCCTTTAAATTTGCCAAAATCAAAACGGAAACTGTCAAAATGTTAGGACAAAAAAAATATGTCATAATATGTCAGCGAGACATCAGTAACCAAGGCGAATTCACATGCCGCAGAATATAGCTTAAACGTATTTTATAGTAGTTAGCAGGCCATAATTTAAATTGCTACTGTTAGAACACCTCCCGATATAAAAAAAGTTGTTCACATACATTACAAAGAACCAGACAAAGACTGCATCTTGATTTTAATAGTTCTTTCCAACAGGATAAACTGGAAACAATCTATATTGTTTGTGCTGATGATTTGAATTTTTTTTAGTAGTAGGAATGGACCCGTTAACAGATTTTTTCTTCAGCATTTTAAAGTTTCTCACATTTTAATTAGCATATATCAGATAACCTTTGACGAAATAAGATTTAAATGAAATAAAAATAAAAATTAAGGAGATAAATTGAAGCAAGAAACTTGTTGAGGAAATATTACTGTTCCAAGCTGACTAGGTAAAAGGGATGAGGAAAACTAAAGGCAAGGGAAATATTTATCTGGTGCAACAAAGGAAAGGTGTGTGACTTGGTCACAGGCTTCCCATCTATAAATAGTCTTGTTTCTCCATGCGAGGTTTCTCACCCCTCTCCAAAGGAAAAACATTCAAAATCACTTAACATGGGAAAAGCTAGTGCTTTTGGCGTTGAAAGGAGTTGAGCATTTCCTTGTAGCTTTTGCCCTCTTGACTCTGGTTTCTAAATTGGCCTCAGCTTCTGACCCTAGCCCGCTTCAGGACTTTTGTGTCGCCCTCAATGACCCCAAGTATGGACGTAAGTATGGCTTTCTGCTTGGATTTTGAAGAACTTTGTTCTCGTTTTTATGCGTTAATTGAAGATACTGAAAAGGTATGACTTTATTTTTTTTATTGCAGTGTTTGTAAATGGGAAGTTCTGCAAAGATCCAAAGCTTGTCACGGCAGACGACTTCTTCCTTGCAGGAATAAACATCCCTGGAAACACATCAAATGCTGTTGGATCAATTGTCACTCCATTTTTTGTGGACAAATTTCCAGCACTTAACACACTTGGCGTATCGCTAGCTCGGATTGACTTTGCTCCTTATGGTGGCCTGAACCCTCCCCACACCCATCCTCGTGCCTCAGAGGTCCTATTTCTCCAAGAGGGCACCCTCCTGGTAGGATTTGTCACATCCAACCAAGATGGTAATCGTCTTTTCACCAAAGTCTTGAATCAAGGAGATCTTTTCGTCTTCCCAATTGGTTTGATTCACTTCCAACTCAATATTGGGAACACTCCTGCTGTTGCCATTTCCAGTTTGAGCAGCCAGTTTCCTGAGGTTATCACCATTGCAAATTCTCTCTTTGGATCAAAACCTCTAATCAATCCTGACGTTCTTGCCGAGGCATTTATGCTAGACAAGACTGTGGTTCAAAATCTTGAATCCAAGTTCTGATGGGATCAAAGACAAGAAGGAGCTTTCCCATAAGATGGAATAGTAGCTACTAGTTTACTTTCAATAACGTGTGTTTCCTCCATGCTATGTTCTATTTTAAGTAATCTACTAATAATAATAAATAAATAAAGAGATTGCAAATGCAGCTGTACTGTGTTTGTACTA